TACAAGACAGTATCTCTCAGCAGATATTCTGATTCTCTTTTCTTACAATCTTCCTGCCTCTACTTCTGAGCTGTTCCCCTAAGCCATCGGTTTAGGGATTCTATTGTAGATGTATCAAATTGGATCAAGCATCCCGTGGTCAATTGTTCTCTGCATTTAAACAGTTGTGGATTTCTGTAACTATCTCAGTCTGCTGCAAAGAGAAGTTTCTCTGATGGGGGGTGTGGTGGTTTGAATGAAAATGGTCCTCTGCTGGTAGCCATATCAGAGGAGTAGCAGGTGGCAACTGAGCTTCCGGAGATCAGTCCACCAGGAATCAAGGCACACTGATGGGTGAATCTTGGCTAAGCAAGGCCCCTGAGGGCTTTAGCAAGACTGTCTCTTGCTATTGCTGTGCCTTTACATGTTTGCTGCTGCCATTTTTCTCTAGTATCTGGCATGGTGTGAATGGGTGTGGGGGGATCCTCACTGCCTTAATGTAGTGTGATTATCTCATGGAAATGTCCCTTTCTATTGGGCATTTTTACCTGTGGATTATTATGAAGATGATATCCTCTTAAGCTGTACCATTTGAAGTGTTGCCCCTGCCACTGATAAAGCAGGGGCTACAGGGCATAGAAAATAGGAATAAGGAAGTATCACACAGCTAGGACTCATGAGTTTCTCTTGAGAAGTTATATAGACTATGGTTTAGATTAATGACTAAGAAAAACAATCAAGTCCTAGGAGTTAGCTCAAGTTCTTTTTGATATTGGGAAATGTGTTCATGGATTTCAATGAGCATCACAGCTAAAACAAAGCTTTAAACAATTGACTTCATGTAACTAGAAACCAAAGAATTGGATGGTTAATTAAGATAAATGGACTGGACTCTAAAATATGAAAACTGAACTAGTAACCTGTTTTTCTGGCAATTATAAAAACTACTGCTTATGTCAATGGTTATGGTTGAAAGGCTCCTGATCTATGAGAGGTCTGAAAGATAAAAGGTTAACTGTATGTGGGTTCTTGGGGATAATTTTGTTTTACCTGTAATATATTTAATCATGTAAGGGAAATGATAAACATGTTGTTTCTTACTTGTATTCATTGTAATCATTCACTTAAAAATTAGAATGTAGTCACTTTGTAATTTTATATTGCTTGAAAGTATATAAGCTATGAGGGAAAAAATAAAGCAGGGAGAAGGAAGACAGTCAACAGGACACAGAAGAAGGGAAACATCAGGGTAGAATAACAGAATAATGAAATGAAGAACTAAACTTTGGCCCTTAGAAAAAAATAGAAGACCCAAAGATGAGTACAATTAACTACAACCACTTAATATTTAACAAAGTTGCCAAAAAATACACACTGAGAAGAGATAACATCTTCAACAAATGGTGCTGTGAAAACTGGATGTCCACTAGGCAGACTTTTCTTTCCCATTTTCCAGTTCACAAACAACTGACATGGAGACTTAATATTCATTATAAATGCTCAGTCGATAGCTCAGGCTTGTTACTAGCTAACTCTTACATTTTAAATTAACCCATATTTCTTATCTACCCTCCACCACCTGTCATAACCTTCTTTCAACACAACACGTCATCCTGCTTCCCTCTGTGTCTGCTTGCGACTCCTGAGTGTTCACATGTAGAGGAATGAAATTAGGCCCATATCTATCTCCATGCACAAAAATTGACTCTAAATGTATTAAAGACCTCAACATGAAACCTGGAGTGCTGAAACTGCTAGAAGAAAACACAAGTGGTAACCTACAAGATATAAGTGTAGAAATTTTTTCTGAGTAAGACTCCATTCACTCAGGAATTAAAGCCAACAATTGACAAATGGGTCCTCATAAAACTAAAAAGTATCTGTACAGCCAAGACACCCAAGTCATCACAAGCTCAGACTCCCCACAGTCTTCTCTCTTTGCTTCCACTTTCTCCTCCACAGCCAGAGCCACACTCCCTGCTGGGGCATGCCCCCCCCCCCCAACACCCGACACACTACAGCAGGTCCACCAGACCTCATTGCAAAGTGGCCAGGGCATTTGCCAGGAAGCCAAGCCAGCAAGGTTCCATGCTTTAATAAAGAATTTTGACCTTTATCCTCTACAATGAACATTTCATTGTGACATAGGATGAAGACAAAGTGGATGCAGACAAGCAGGGAGATGAAGCCCAGGGTGTGGTTTGTGGGTGTGCTGGTTATCTATCTATCTATCTATCTATCTATCTATCTATCTATCTATCTATCTATCTATCTATCTATCTATCTATTTATTTATTTATTTATTGTCAATTTGACCCGAGTTAAATCATCTGGGAGGAGGGGGCCTCAGTTTAGAAAATGTCTCCACCAGATCACCCTATAAGCATGTCTGTAAAGCATCTTCTTGACTGATGATTGCTGGGCAGCACAGCTCACAGTGGGCAGTGATACCTCTGGACAAGGTGGTCCTGGGTTGTATAAAATAGCAAGCTGAGTGAGCAATGAGGATCAAGCAAGTAAATAGCATTCTTCCTTGCTCTCTGTTCTTGTCCCTGACTCCAGGTTCCTGCTTTGAATTATTCATGCCTTGGCTTCCCTCAGTGATGGACTATAATTGGGATATGTAATTGGCCATGGTCTTTTATCACAGCAACAGTAACCCTAACTAGAACACGGAGTATGGTGCTAGTCACCAGATGAAGGGACAGCCTTCTTTGGCTTCCTAGGAGGGACTGATCATCTTAGCAGAGGCCAAAGCACAAAAGAAGAAAAAAATGGTGCATTATTGCTTTGTTTCTCCCATGGATGCCTGCTAGAGAATGAAGCATGTGTTATTTCTGTTAGGGCCTATACTATGTGCAGAAGTGCCTTGAATGTAACAATTATCCAATTAATCTTTCAGTTAAAATAATAATATTAATATTCATAAGTATCCACTAAGATTAAACTTAAGTTTAAAGAAAGATTTAAAGGGTTACCAATCTTAAGTACTTATCCAACAGATCCAAAGTCTTTCATCTCACCCACTCCTTTTTCTAGCAACAATTCCTGCTATCCAGCTGAATAAACATGTCCAGTTAAAGTACAGAGGTTTGGAAGAATGGTACATGAAACTCACTTAAAAATTCAGGGTCCAACAAATAGGTTAGAGAGGTAGTCAACTATTGCTATTCTCTTATTTCAGAAATGAAGAATTTAAGGGAAATTAAGGTGACATGATTAAATATTTTGGATCATGCATAGAAATTGATATTCTGAAGTTGCTTTGAGATCTTAGTTATCAAAAAAGAATTTCCATTTGAAAGAAAGTGATGTAAATGCATAAAGGTTGTTGAGCAATAGGAATCACCCATTGCTCATTATGCTACAAAAGAAAATCAAACATGCACCATTTATTTGGCTCCTTTGAATCCAACTCCTGCATAAAGTGAGTTAATCATAGCAATTACCTAATATGAAGTAATTTGCTCCATTTAGATACCATGGAGATCTAGGACTAAAGTTTGCTGCAAATAAAAGCAAGTAACTAGGATGTTTTTTCTTGTTTGAATAAGGTGTAAAGGCTTCAGTTGACATCCAGCCTACAGTGGGGTGAAAGGGAGAAGAAAAGAATGAAAAAAAAAAGCCTAGATCATTCCATTTCACACTTCAGGTGACAAGTGGTCTTTGTTATTGTTTCTCCATTGCCAATCAGTTTACTATCCTTTGTAGCTTAAGTTTTCCTGCCTGGCCCACAGTCAGGACAAATCTCTCTCACCCGCCAGTCCCACAGCCGCTCAAACCTGACCAAGTAAACACAGAGACTTGTATTGGTTTCAAACTGTATGGCCATGGCAGGCTTCTTGCTAACTGTTCTTTCAGCTTAAATTAATCCATTTTTATAAATCTATACCTTGCCACATGGCTCGTGGCTTACCGGCATCTTCACATGCTGCTTCTCATCGTGGCGACTGGCAGTGTCTCTCTGACTCAGCCTTCCACTTCCCAGCTTTATTCTCCTCCTTGTCCAGCCTACACTTCCTGCCTAGCCAATGGCCAATCAGTGTTTTAATTATTGACTAATCAGCAACACATTTGACATACAGAACATCCCACAGCAATCCTTGCATGATTTTCTTCTGAAATAGCTGAAGCTGGAGGACATGTTTCATTCCTTGTTGGCAGGATGGTATGTGACTTCCCTATTTCTGTTGAGGCAGCTTTCTCTGCTTTTCCCAGGATTGCCTGAAAACGCCAGTACAGCTTCTGAAGTAACTGAGTTTACAGGTGCTCACCTCCAAGGCTGAATGGGACGTCACTTTTTTTTTTTTCATCTGAATTTCTCGTGGGTATTTCCAGGAAGCCTGTCAAGTATTTGTGTTTGTGCTTAGCACAATGCCCATGTATGTCACAGGTACTGACTTATATCGTAAAGAAGTTTACATTTCAAAATGTTCACAGAATCATTCTAACCGCTGTATGGTAGAAGGAGGGAAGGATTTTTATACCCTTCTGGCTGACAAATAGGTTGGAAGAACTCTAGCACACCCAGGCTGTGCAGGATGAGATGAACATGGGCTAGATGAGAGGCACACCCCAATGCAGTGCTTCGCCACTTCTGAGACCCTGCACACATGCTTGTATTAATTCAAAGTTTAAAATTTGACACTATTTATAATAGTACAACAGCACAGAAAACAAAAAGAAAGGAAACTGTAAGGAGCATCAACTATGGAACTGTAAAGGAAATTCTGAAGGGAACTGTATGGAAAATCAACTATGGCTTTTTTGTTTTGTTTTGTTTTGTTTTTTAATCAGCTTCTAAGATGAAATTACGCAAGTAGCTAAACTGGTTTAAAACTTGCAAGGTATTGCTCAAAGCTGAGCAATCCTGGGTTTTTGTTTGCTTGGTTTTTTTTTTTTTTTTTGTCGTTGTTTTATTTTTTTTATGGAGCATAGAGTACTTTGGCTCAAACAAGCTGTTTCTTACCCTTAATTCAGTAACAGACAAAAGGATGTAAGTCAAACAACAAAAGCACTTTTTGAATTCAGTGTTTTCACAACCCCACCCCCACTCGGTTCACACCGAAGCTGCCTTCAAACCCAAGCGCCACCTTTATCTTAAAGGTCCAGGACACGTGAGTAGCAGCAAAGGTCTATTCAGCATTTCTCTCACAGTAGGAAGCTACAAAATTCCACAGACACACTGCACAATGCAGCTCTTATTTAGAAAAGGAAGGCAAACTGAAGGCATGAGACAATATGCTATTTGCTTTTAGTGTCTCTTACACTTAAGCTATTTGACTCAGGCTGCAAGAAGCAGAGAGAGATAACCCCACACACAGCTCCGCCTTAACTTCAAAACCCCATCAAGGGTTTGAAGAAAGATGGAGGATGTCTGCTGGTTTCGATAAGAAAGAGTAAAAGACAGGACAGAGTCTTAGGAAATGGAAAGATACACAAAAGTGTGTTCATTATTCAACCTCGTAAATTTATGATAAGGAACAGTTGACTTATTTGTGTGAGGATAAAGCTAAAACTCTTAATTATGGAATATATGTGCTGGCCATAGCAGCAATCTAGATTTTAGTAATAAAACAAATAAATATGCTTGTTTTTACAATTTTTATTAAATTTGAGGTTATGTGTTTCATTAAATTTACTACCTACCTCTGCAATAATATGTGATAAAAATTATTTAAAAATTCACTAGAGGCTTTCTTTAATTAAAAGAAAGTATTTAAAAATACTTTTAAAATTCCGTTACTCTAGGGATGGTGTCAGAGCCTGCTTCAAAGCATGCTTCCCCTTGATGGGAGCTGATGGGAGCAGAAGGCAAGTCAAGATCCAGTTGTCATGGTCCTGGACTCCATTCCCAAATGTATTAACAACCCACTAAAAATACTAAATGACCCTTTTAACCCAGGCATGGTGGTTGTGTTGGACGCATGAAGACTTGTAGCCCTCTCCTGGTCTTTGTCTTTGAGGCATCTTCTTTAAGCACTGGCTGTAGCTCTGGAAGTGCCTGCCACCCTTCACTCTTTATGGACAGGAAGCAGAGATGAAGTAATACATCAGGATACACTGATCAGGGAGCCTCCTGAAAGCCACAGTAGCTTTCTCCTGTGCATCTCTGCAACCTGGATAAGAGCCTAAATTAAAAATGGTTATTTTCTATACTTTAATTCAAATGGACAATAAGCCACACTTTTTATATCACTTTATATAACCTTAAGAATTTTCTACTTTCATTATACTGAAAGAATCTTGCTTGTTTTTTTTTCCTTAGAGAACAATTTATTTGTTTTTATTGCTTTCCTTCAGTTTATTTATTTATTTGTTTGTTTGTTGTTTGTTTATTATTGTAGGTGTATGAGTGTCTTGACTGCATGTATGTGTGTGTACCACATGCATGTCTGATGCCAGGAGAGATCAAAAGAGGGAGTCAGATTCCCTGGAACTGGAGTTATTGATGGTTGTGGACCACCATATGGGTGCTGGAGCTGAACCTAGACCCTCTGTAAGAGCAACAAGTACTTTTCACTGCTATGCCATCTCTCCAGCTCTGAATCGCTTTTATCGTTACTATTTCTTCCATTTTGAGGACCGTAATTTCATTATTCCTCCTTCCCTTTCTTCCCTCCAAATCCCATCCTTTATCTCTTTCAAATACATAGCCTCTTTTTTCCCCATTAATTGTTGTTACATACATATATGCATATTCATATTTACTCCTAAATATATAAATACAACCTGCTCACTCTGTATAATATTACTTGTATGTGTGTTTTCAGGGTTGACTATTTGGTATTTGATCACCAGTTCCTGGGCTTTTCCTTGGGGAAGACTGTTTCTCCCACTCTTAGCATTCCTTAGTAGCCTGTAGTTCTTTGTGTAGAGTTGAGGCCTGTGGGCTTCCCTGTCTACTTTAGCGTGTCTGTTGTTACTGTCCTTGTCCATCTCATGTTTAGGCAGCCAAGCTGGTGAGAGTTTATGGCTGTGGCTTCTAAAATTTCTAGGAGACACAATCTCACAGCAAACTCCCTGTTCCTCTGGCTCTTACAACCTTCCACTCCCTCTTCTGCAATGATCTCTGAGCCTCAGATACAGGAATGTTTTATAAAATGTATCCATTGGGACTAGGCTCTAGAACTATGCATTTTGATTGGTTGTATTTTTCTCTAATGATATATTAATCAGGGTTCTCTAGAGGAACAGAACTTATAAAATGAATATATATACATGCATACACACACACACACACACACACACACACACACACACACACACACACACACACAGGTCCCAGAACCCAGTAGTTGTTCAGTCTCGAAGCTGGATGTCTCAGCTGGTCTTCAGTAAACGCCAGAATCCTGAAGAAGTAGGCTCCAATGTCAGTGAAGGAATAGATTTGCTAGCAAAAGTGAGAGAAAGCTTCCTTCTTCCATGTACTTCATATAGGCGGCTGGCAGAAGGTGTGGCACAGATTCAAGGTGTATCTTCTCACCTCAGATACCCAGATTATAAGTGTGTCTTCCCACTTCAAATGAATTAAGAAAAAAATCAATTGCAGGTATGCCAAGCCATTTGAGTTTTAGTTAATTTCAGATGTAGTCAAGTTAACAACCAAGAATAGCCATCACAAATGGTCTCCATCTGTTACAAAGAGAAGTTTCCTTGATGGGTGATAAGTACTACACTTATCTGTGGATATAAGAACAAATACTTAGAATGAAGTTAGGAATTACTGCATTGTATTTTTAATCAATAAGATATCTCATACTTTGATAACCTCTTCAAACTTTGTATACTTCAATTTTTTATGAGATTTGTATTACATTATTCCTTAAACATCAAAACATTACCAAACATTATAACATAACTAAAGTTCTAATCTGAAGTCATAATTTTTAACTTTTTTTTTTTTTTTTTGGTTTTTCGAGACAGGGTTTCTCTGTGTAGCTTTGCGCCTTTTCTGGGACTCACTTGGTAGCCCAGGCTGGCCTCGAACTCACAGAGATCCGCCTGGCTCTGCCTCCCGAGTGCTGGGATTAAAGGCGTGTGCCACCACCGCCCGGCTAATTTTTAACTTTTAATTCTAAGTTTAAATGTAATTAAAGCCATGCTAATCTATTAGGAGCAAATTATCCACATAGGTTAATCTTAATCTTCAAAGATATAACTAATTTTTTCCATTTAACTTGAAAATTAAATTTTAAATCAGTTAAGAAGTAATTTATTGGTTCTGCAAAACATGGTATAAGATTACATTCCAACTTAGAAGTTTCAAAACATTAACTTATCAGATTATGAATATGAATATACATTTAAAGATTAAGTTGTTTTAATCACATGTATTTAATGTAAAAGTTTAAAGATAACAGAATTATTTTAAAATTATAGGTTATAATTAATTTTAAATTAGTACATAATTGATATGTCAAAATAATAGACTTTTGAATAGAAAGAAGCTTTGTACTAGTGAGACCATTGAAATGATCATTTTGTCATTTGTACTTAAAATGTTCTGTCAGAAGAGAAGTTTGTTCAATTGACTTGAGCAGAAGTCCCCGCCCCACCAGCATATGGCACTGGAGAGGGGAGCCTGCACCATGGCCGTAAATGTGAGGTGTCTGGATGACAGAAAAGATTTTCATGTTCAGGCCTGTGTTCAAGGAAGAATTCTTTAAAATCTATTTCATAGAAGAAAAACTCCATGTTTTATGCCCATTTTTCCCTATGAAACCAAAATCTGGTCACCTATGCTTGGGACAAAACAGGACCTCCTGGTTTCTGAACTCCCGTGATCATTGCAATGAACACGTCTCTTCACTCTTGGTAGTAGGGTGCATTACTAATAGTGTCTATATTTGGGGTGCATCTATGATCACGAATTTCCATTACTTAAGAAATGGAAAACAAAAAAAAATTCCCAAAGAGCTTATATAACATCTTTTATATGAGCATAATCTTTCCAAGCATCCAGGTATTCCTTCTCCTAAGGATGAGCAGAGACACCTGGAGCCAAAGACAGACAACATAAAATTCTGAGTGATAGTCAGGTATGTATGTCGTTGCCATGAACCTCAACTTTCCCAATATTATGTCATTTGAATAGAAAACATTTCTGAAATGCGAGCTATGCTTCTGTTTCCTATCCGCACCATCAATGAGAAGTTAAGACAGAATGAGGGAATAGGGAAGAAAGGTAACTTTTTGTCTGCTTTGTGTCAAAAAGTCTAATTTCTAATACCATCATCCCTTTGAAGCTGAACTATATCAGGAAGGCAAAATGTCAATAAATAAAAATTTTGTGCAAACAGTTGGCTAACGTAAATTTTTTTTGTTGAGGTTACTTTTTGAAGTATCTGTTAGTCTCAACATAAATTTTTAGAAGTGTACTTGACTGTTACAATGAAGACAATTAGAAAACTAAGGATGAAATAATGCGAATCATGCTAAATTGTAGGCAGAAGTTTCTGTCCCACAAGTAACCACCCAAAACATAATATTAATTAAATGCTTGGCCAATAACTCAGGCTTGTTATTAGCTAACTCTTATATTTACATTAATACATATTTCTTATCTATGTTTCGCCACATGGCTTGGTACCTTTTCTCAGTACAGGATATCCATCTTGCTTCTCTCTGTCTCTGCTGGTGACTCCTCAGCTCTGCCCTTCTTTCTTCCAGAATTCTTAGTTTGATCTCCCACCTAACCTTATCCTGTTCAGCTATTGGCCAGTCAGCTTCTTTATTAAACCAATCACAGTGACATATATTCAAACAATGTAAAAGAATATTCCACACTAAGTAGTGAATGTTTTAGAAGAAATAGATCATCATATCCCAACTTTCATTACCTTAACAGAATTATGGCTTTCACTGATAACAGATAGATGGTAGGTGGTAGTGGCACACACCTTTAATCCCAGCACTGAGGAGGCAAAGGCAGGAGGATCTCTGTGAGTTTGAGTTTAGCCTGGTCTTAAAAAGAAGTTATCCTGGGGCCTGGAGAGATGGCTCAGAGGTTAGGAGCACTGCTTGTTCTTCCAAAGGTCCTGAGTTCAATTCCCAGCAACCACATGGTGGCTCACAACCATCTGTAATGAGATCTGGCGCCCTCTTCTGGCCTGCAGGGATATGTTCAGGCAGAACTGTATACATAATAAATAAATCTTTAAAAAAAAAAAAAAAAAAAGAAGTTATCCTAACTTCTTAAATACAAAGATAAGTCCCATTTATAAATTATATGTACATACATCAGTATACCTATATATGTATGAAATCTGGGAGAGTGCATCCTTTGTCCTTGAGATTTACATACCAAAAGTAAATCTCTGTATATTGCCTTAAATTTTAATGATTTATTAGTATCATAATTTCATGAAAAAGTCTACTATTTTTGATGGTAAGCTCAAACATAACAATCCACTGTATCTTTATTTGTCTCTGGTTCGATGTCACAAGTTATAACACCCTCTTCTAGATTTCTATATAATGAAGATCTTGTGATATGCAAGTTCAGACCTTCTCAAAAGTTGTTAGATCAGACAGGTCTAGACTTTGATCCCTAGATAGGCAGAGTCTACATCCCATCTCAGCAGTGAAAAGTTTCAGACAATGAATCTTCAGTCTTCATCAACCCATATGAGTAAGAGATCAAAGTCTCAGAGGTAGATGGTGAGAGAGGATTGAAAACCAGGGCAAGTTGTTGGGATGTAAGAAGGGATTGGAGTCACCTCACTGCAGACTCTGGTTGAAGTCTCTTGCTAGCTGAGAAAAAAGAATTCCAGCATAGTTAACATTGGCTGTGAAGGTTTCCTGCAGAGAGATAATATGTCTTGCATAAAGCAACTTCAAATAACAACATTAAACTATCAAGGATAAAAATATATGACCTTTGGGGTCACCTTTCTTACTACTTCTCCAGATGCAAACCTGGAATCTCACTAACAAGACTCTAAACTTCATTCATGGTAAAAATCAGTCTTAGCTTTCTTGAGCAACCCTTGTGAATTACAGCTTTACCTTATCAGTTGTAATCCTATTCAATGCACCTCAGGAACCACCCTATTCCCTTATTTACTGAAAAAGAAGGAGGGAAGGTTCCTTAACAACCCTCAGAGCTGTTACCTCAGAGGCTACCAAAATTATGTTTAAGCCCAACTCTCTCTTGAGAAGTGCACACCAATGGTAATTGAATTTATACTTAAATATCTTTCTTATAAACTCTAACTCAATTTCATTTTAAAAGTACCTAATATAAATATTATTAAAATCTGTGGTCAATGGAACACTGGACAGGTATTTAAATAGCTCATCTTAGTAAGGATTTCATATTAGCTCAGATAACTGTCTAGATTCTACATGAAGTGTGCAGATACATTGGGAATTCTCTCTATGCATAATGAAAAAAGTACTCCATTTGTTGTATTTTAACAATGGAGGGAAGGAGTCACACCATTCAACAGGGCCCATGTAGGAGGTTTATTGAGGGGAAGGGAAGAGAGGAGCTGCAAAGCCAGGACGAGATCAAAAGTGTCACAGCAGTACAACTCAAATCTAAAAAGTTGTGTAGTATACAAAGCAGTAGTGTGACAGAAATGAGAGCCAACGATTTTCAAGGCATGCTAAGTAGGTCATCAATAGTCGAGATATTTGATGTGGTTATTAACATGGAGACTCTGAGACTCCAACAAGATCTCCTAGGTAGCAGGTCTCATTAAATCTGTGTTTTTAACAGGACTCTCAGACGATTTTAATATAAAATTCAACTTGGAAACCACTGGTTAAAACTTTATAATCTAACTTTAAATTTTCTCCAGGATTTATATAGAATCTTAGGAAAACAACTTAGATTTAAAAAAAAAATGTTTCTTCCACTAGTAAATAGAAATAGTAATACCTACTTCATGTGATGAACTTAATAAAATAATATGTTAAGTACTTGGCACATTTCCTAGTACATAATGCATCAACTATTGGTCAATATTAATGAGATGGAAATAGAACTGGTCATCTAGAGGCAGCAAGCCTGTAATAGCCGCCAATCTGTGCACACAGCGTGCTGAGTCAACACTTTTTAAATGGCTGCATTGATGTGGTCCTTTGCAGGCTACTGAAAACTGTCCACTAAAAAGCCAGTCACAGGAGAGGAAGAAATGGATGATGGTTCCATCAGTAAAGTGCTTGGGTCATAAGTAGAAGAACTTGAGTTTGAGCCCTAGAGGTCGTGTAAAAGGCCGGACATATTGGTACATGCTTATAATTCCAGCTGTTGCAGGATGGGAAAGTGAGATGGGCAGATTCCTGAGGCTTGCTTGCCAGGCAGTCTAGCCTAGGTGGTGAAGTTCTAGCCCAATGAAAGACGCTATCACAAACAGATAGTAGAAAGTGCCCGAGGAATGACACCCAAATTATCCTCTAACCTCTACGTGTACATAAACACACATGTATGTGAGCACACGAACACATACACACACACACACACACACACACACACACACACACACACACACACGCATGAGCACACACACA